ACACTCCAAGGTTAGGTAACAATGTGAATACGTTATGGGAAGGTAGAAGCTAGATGTGATTATTTTTATTTCATTTTAAACATTTCATATAAAGTTTATTTTTATGTTTGTATACTTAGAATTATTTGTAATTTATTTGTCACAAATTTATTTTTACCAGAAATAGTATACTTTTCACTCTGGGTGCTACCTGATTCTAATCAGCTGTTTACCCAGCCATTGAAAACTCAGTTTCAACAGTTAAGCTTTTCACTTTCGTAGATTCCTCTTTCCCGGGTGGCGTGTGGCCGTCCTGAGAGAGCAGGCATGTGCTCGCTTCTGGGGGCAGGTGGTGCCCCGGCTGCTGCGGCGCAGGACACGGCGCCCACCTCAGGGCAGGCCTGCCTTCTGTTCCCCAGCGCCCCGTCTGGCACTGGCTACTGTTATTTCTTGGGGTGAGGATGGGGTCCCTTTACCATGCCCTTCACTTTTATTTTGGCAAACCAGCAAATGGGCAGAAGTTGTAATTTTCTAGACTCCAGTTGTGTTGTGGTAGGCGGGTTCTTTCCCATTGTACTGCTGGGGGTGGAGCCTTGGGTTTACGAGAGTCCTCTGTGAAGTGCCTTCGCGTGTTGGGCGGAGGACGCAGTGAAGTTGGGGCTTTGCTTCACTCCACGCAATGTCCGGCCTGGCAGGCTCGTGGCGGCCGAGGCGAGGACCCAGGGCCATGTTCTGAGTGGCGTCTGGCCTAGACTGGCGCTGCTGGTGTTGAGGACCCTCTTCTGTGTCTACGCTGTTCCCTCTCCAGTGGCCTGAGTGGCTTCCTGAGCCTGCAGTGGGGGAGGGTGGTGCGTGCAGTTGGTTGTTTCCCATCACACTGCCTCTTAGCTCCGGAGCAGAACGCAGGAAAACAGAAAGGGAGAAGCCTTGCTACACGGCCGGCTTAGTTATAATATCGTGGCTTCCTGAGAGACCAGGAGCAGGGCCGTGGCATGGGGCGATCCGCTGGCGCAGAGCAAGTGTGGCCCGAGTGGTCTACGAGATGCCGGCCAGGGCTCGCAGGAGGATAAGTGGACTCCCAGAAAAGCCTTTCGTTATCAGCGAGAGCCTCGCCAGGGTTGGCGTGGGGGCCTTTCTCCCAGGGCCTGGGGTGGAGGTGCTTTTCTTGGCCTTGACTTGGTCGTGCCTTAAGGGAGTCTCAAACCAGCATCTCCGGCTTGGCAGTGAGTAAACTCGCTCCCAAGTAGCTCCACGGCCTGTGATTTACTGGGCTTGGAGAACATGCCCCGGGGAGGGAAGCTGGTTTGCACATTGCAGAAAAGCAGGCTGGGGAGGATAGCAATCGAGAGGCGTGGTAGTTTAGAATGATTACTAAGAAACTCGTTTTGTATGCACCTCGCACTGTGCTAGTTTCTAGAACAACAAAAACAGACCTGACAGTCATTTCTCATTAGCCATGTAGTGTGTTTTTGCCTCCTCTCTAAGTGGTGTAATTGCTTCTGTGTAGTGTGCTTTTCAGCAGGTGGTTTTAAGTTGGTTTCTATTATGCCTTCATGAAAAGTGGGGTGTGCCTTCTGTGTTACGGCTTAGCTTGCAAATGCTCAAGACCATCAGATAACTAGAGCGCTGACCAGCACCACACTTTCTCAGGGGTGAAGTGTGGTGAGGATGGCCTTTTTTGTGAAAGAACTGGAAACAAACCCCTGTCTTCATTGACTTTTGTTCCTTCATTTTTGTCCCGTTTGCCCTCCTAAGCCTGTTACGGGAGAGCCAGGAACTGCTGTGACTTTTCTCTTTGTGTGTGCCAAGAGCCCACGAGTTATCCTGTGTAATTCAGCTGGAAATTCTCCCCAGAGCAGTTCCTCTGTCATAGAGAAAGCGTAGGGGTAAAAGGAATTAATCTACGCACAACAATAGGGTGTCAGTTCTCCCCTGCCCCAGATTTCCCTGGGAGCCTGGCCTTGGTGCTGGTCATGCTGTGTGTGGGGACGGCAGGGGGCTGGGCCAGGTGTTTCCAGGCAGGGAGGCCCAGCAGGTGCTGCCTGTGCCCAGCAGTGGGTGCCCTGGAGTGGGGTGTCCGTGTCAGTTGTGAGGAGCGACACTTGCTGTCCTGAGAACTCATCGTCACTTGTGTTACAGCCTCTTATGTGGAATGTTGCCGTGTTACACTTTATAAGGATTTGGTCAATGATGCTGTGTGAGCATTTCTGGCGTTTCCTAGTAATCTAAAGTCTTGCAGTGAGTGAGCCAAAGAGTGCTTCAGCCCATTGCCAAGTGCTGTCAGTTCTATCTCCTAAGTCTTTTTTTCTTTGTAAGAGGGTCTCACTCTGTCGCCCAGTGATCACAGCTCACTGCAGCCTCAAACTCCTGGCTGCGAGCGATCCTCCCACCTCAGCCTCCTGAGTTGCTGGGACTGCAGGCGCCACCACGCCCAGCTATTTCCTAAATCTCTGCTGTCCGTCCTTCCGTCCCCTGCTTGCCTTCTCTCCTAGTCCAAGTTCTCTTGGTATCGGGCCTGGACTTCTGCAGTAGCCTCCTTGAAACCTGTTTGGTTTTCATCTCCTTCCCTGTGTCCTCTGTCCTGCTGCCAGGATGATGTTTGTCAGGTTGGAATCTGTGCTGTCCACGCTTGCGGAGTAGCTCCCCTTGCCTCCGGGGAGGGATATCGGTCTCTCGAGTTCATCTGTGACGGAGTGGCCCACCCCAAAGCTGGTGACATAAGGGACAACCACAGTATTGCGTGGGTGGATTCTGTGGCCTCACAAGGCAGGACGTAGGGAGGGGTTGGCTTGTCTCTGCCCCTAGACGCCTGGACCTTGGCTGAGAAAAATGTGCAGTGGGCACCTTGACAGGCGGGGCTCAGAGGGATTGTTGACCGTGGCTGGCCCCATGTGGCTTCCTGGAAGGAGCGTCCCAAGGGGCAGCGTCTGGAGAGACCCTGGCAGGGTGCCAGGCTTCCGGCCTGGGATTGGGAGTCGGAGGCTTCGCTTCTGCCTGGCTGTCCTGGTTGGAGCAGCCCACCACGGTCCTGGGGGTGCGGGTTGCGGCGAGGGATGGACATAGACCCTGCGGACCCCAGCTCTGGAGGGGAGGTGTGTCGGAGTATTTGTCACGTAGGGCGACCATGTAATTTTTATCCAAACTGGCTATTCGTGAGAGTAAAAGGGAGCTCTGTCAACACTAAGTCAGGCAACAGGCATCCACTGGGGCTGCCTGGACCCACAGGGCTGCCCGGGTACCGAGTCGATGCCCTTCCTGACCTGGCGGTACCTGTCCACTGTTGCCTGTGGGTCTGGTGCCCGACGGAACTGGCTGTGTTTCATGTCTGTTTCTGTCCTGCCCTTCCTCAGCAACCGTCTGCGGCAAGCTCCTGCTCCCCAGCGAGCGCTGGCTGGAGCGGTGGGCGCGTCGTGGAGTTTTTTCTCGGCTCCTCGGTGCGCACCGTGGACGTGCCCCAGCCCCATCCTGGGGACTGTGAGCATGTGTGGTGTCTTCCGGCTCCCCAGGCTCCCGGTCCCTTTGGGGAGGACAGCCCGTGTATGCCCCAGCATTTCTGCTGAGCAGGTATCTGCTCTGCAAACGATGACTGAAGTTTACAGTATGTGAAGTTGGTTATGTTTGGTTTTACGTGAAGTAAATTAACTTTTAATTTTGTATTTTACGTACGCTAAATCCATGGAAGAGTTCTTAAAGTTAAATGGGTGTTGGGCAAACAAGGAATGTATCTATCAATACATTAACTTGGTAGGAAAATATTAACATCCAGTTCTCTAGAGAGAGAGAAAGGGGTTAAGTCTTCTGGTGTCTTTGGTTGCGTGTGTCTGACGGACGTTTGCGTGTTGTTCTCATGGTGGCTCAGTGAAGTGGGTGCCATCCTCTGCCCATTTCACAGAGGCTGAGGAAGAGGAGGCTCAGAGACCTGCCCGTCCCACACTGGTCCGTTGCGTCTCGGCCCAGCACTCGGGAGAGGCCCTCCGCAGGTTCCGTGGGTAGAGTATGAGGACGTTCCCTCTTTTTCGGAACAGATGTTTTTATTCTATACTTAATTAAAAAATCAAGCAATTTAGAGAGTTTGTCCTGAAAATAAAAAGCACCGGTATTTAGCGAAGTCCTCTTCACCGTGGCTGAGCGGCTGCTGGACGTCAGGATGTGCTGGCTGCAGTGAGCCGTGTGCTGGGGGCAGGAGCCGCGGCACTGTGCGTCATCTAGAACAGAAGTTCTCGCCTTGCCTGTGAAATACTGTTTTCTGAAGGAAAGGAAGTTCATTAGTGACTTCTTAGAAGTGCTCGGCTCTGGGTTTCTTTGATTAAGGGGCTCGGAAACTTAGGTGAATGACCCCGTCACCTTCCAGATTTCAAAGCAGAGGGTAACACTTTAGGTTGAGAATTCAGAGGGCTGGAACTAGCATTCTAGGGAAAAATCTGATACTCCTCTTTGTTCCCATGGACTCCGGGTTCGTTCACTCGGAGCGCAGCGTGTGGGGTCTGCGCGTCGGGAGGTGGCGAGTGAGGTAGAAGCACCAGGCCGCGTGTGGTGACCAGGCCACGTGTGGTGACCAGGCCACAGTGGCTCCGAGGGAGGAGGCGGACGTCACCTTTCTCATTTGTCGGCTAAGAATAAATGGGACTTCCGAGTGAAAGCTTGGGCTCCTCACCTTTGTGTAACTTTTATCCTTTTCATCTTTATACCTGGATAATTAAAAAATCCCGCTGAGGTGTCTGCGTTTCCTAGGCTGGTGCCCTGAGCCTCAGCCTGGGCACGTTTCAGGGCTGTCCTTGGTCAGGGACTGGACTGTGTCACCATAGCCCTACTCTGACACGACCCGTGGGAGATTTCTTCTCCAGTCTGCTATAATTCCTTCCTTTATCATGAACGGAAGCTGTGCTCTTGTTCCTAGGTGGTAAGTGTTTAAAAAAGTTCTGGAAGATGCAATGAATTGTTTTGATAATTTATATTTATGTTTTAAGCTTCTAAATATATATGCAACATTTTAAAAGCTTTGTTTTTTTTTTTTTTTTCAGGCACAGATATTCAAACATGGAAAACGTGAAGACTGTTTACCCTATGGTGAGGTTGATTTTTGAGAGGAGGTATATTTGTGATGCGAGTTTGCCCAATCAAGTGTGTGTCTGTAACATTTTAGTGATAGGTATAAAAATCTGAAAGTTAGTCTATTTGGACACTGTCATTTTTCTTTGGTTTTGTTGTGTGTGTGTGTGTTTTAATAATTTGACTTTCAGTAAACTTTCCTGGTCATTTGATGTAGAGGAAAGTGCTGAGGGTCTGGGTTTCGTGACACCTGGCTGCCTGTGTCTCCCACCTGGCGGAGCCTGGCGATGCTGGACGCAGCCCCACGTCTGCCGCGGGCCCCTTGGCACCCTGCAGTGGCTGTTCCCCTCCTAAGCCACGGCTGCCACACTGTGCTTTCTGCCTCATTCCTGTACTTTCAGACTGAGCCTCGATTTGTGAAAATAAGGGCAGTGCTGCTCTCCACAGAGGGCTCACTGCTGGGAGCAAGAGGAACAGCTCAGAGTGCTGTGTTTTAGAAGGTGTATGGCTTTCCCATTTGAATGATAGTCCGTTTTTAAAAAGGTCTTTCATTATGGAAATTCTCCAGTACATACAGAGGAGGAACATGGAGTAACAAACTCGTGTTTCTGTCCCAGGGTTCACAGTGTTAGTCTGTGGCCTCTGGTCCACCCATACTCCTCCCAGCCCCACCCTGCTGTCCCCTCTGTGTGTCTCAGCGCATGTCTCTAAAACACAGGCTCCTGCACGTGACCTCGGTGTCCTCACGCCTGAGAAAATGAGCAGTGATTGCTCAGTGCCATCAAATACTCACACCTGTCTTGGAAGCCCCACTGTGTTTCCTGTGTCCCCCCGGCAGCCGGCCTCAGGCCTTAGGCCCCCTCTGTGGTCCCAGTCTTCATCCCCCCCGGCTCCCCCCATACCCCTTCCTCAAGGCCCCCGTGTACCCCGCGCCCCCTCCTCCAGACCCCCTGTGCCCTCTTCTCGAGGTCCCCTGTGCTCAGTGTGAGCTCAGGCCATCACCTGGATCGGGGTCCCTGGGAACCATCTGGCTCAGGGCTGTAGGTTCACACCTGGGGGTGCAGTCGGAGGGTCCCGCGTGCTTCCTCCCTCTGCTCTGAGGCGAGCGTGTCTTGTTTGCAGCTGCCACCGTCCTCCAGTGCCTTGATGGCTGCAGACTCCCTGAGAGCAACCAGACCCTGCTCCGGAAGCTGGGGGTGAAGCTCGTGCAGCGGCTGGGGCTGACCTTCCTGAAGCCGAAGGTGGCAGCGTGGAGGTGGGTACCCTGCAGGCTGGCAGGGCACGTGCCCGTTGGTGTGGCTGGTGCTGTGGCTCTTGCGTCAGGCGGTGATGGCAGACAAGGCCGACTCATGAAAAGTGTCTTCTGCTTTCATCTTTTGCTTTACTCTCAAAAGTGTTTCTGATTTTGAAAGAAATGATTTTCCTTTTGATTATTTTCTGACTTCCTGAAGCTGGGGTGGGGACAGGAAACAGGTTGCTTTGCATTTTCTGTGAGGTCTCCCTGGCCTGGGCTTGCCGTGGGGCAGGCCCTGTTTCCCTGGGTGATGAGTCTGGGTTATAGGCGTCTTTCAAAGGAAACGAAGCTCATTCTTCAGAGTTTATTCAGGAAACGAAACTGTTTTTGCTGTTGCGGGGATGCTTTGACAGACGGAGTTTGGATTACTGGCTCCTACACGCACAGACTTTTCTAACGTTCTTAGGGTGCTGTGTTTTTGATAACGTTCAGTTTTATTTTGAGTATTAATATATGTGTTTTGGGAAGGAATTATTTGATTAAGTTCAGCTCAATCTTTGTTCTGAATTATAGCAAATTCCAAAGAAGTATGTTGTGTTTTAGTGATGATTTACCGAAATACCCTTTGGTGTTCAGCATACACCTCATTCTACAGGAAGTTTATTAGACAGGATGTCAGTGCCTGTTTCTAAAATGCCATGGAGAATGATGCGGTACGTGTATTAGGGTGTTCTCCAGAGAAACAGAACCAGCAGGGCATGCGTGAGTACGCACAGAAAGAGGTTTATAGTAAGGAATTGGCGTACGCAGTGATGGAAGCTGGCAGGACCCGAGACCTGTGGCGCGAGTTGGCAGCCGGGGACCCAGGAGAGCCACTGGTGTGGGTGGCTCCTGGCTGAAGGCCGGCAGGCTCGAGACCCAGGAAGAGCCACATTTCAGTTTGAGTCTGAAGACAGAAAACGGCCAGTGTTCCAGATGAAGGGTCATCAGGCGAGAGGAATTCTCTCGTATTTGGGGAGAGTCAAGCTGACTGGATGAGGCCACTCTGAATTGTTCGTCTCATCCAGAAACAGCCGCACAGACACGCTCAGAATGGCGTCCACCAGTAACCGGTCGGGTTGACCCGTAAACAGCCACCACAAGTGCTAAAACGTTCACGTGGGAAAGAAAATGATTTAGTGTGGTAATTACTTTGTTCAGTCGTATTGCCACGTTAATGTAATTTTTAGCATGATTGGGTTTAAGTCTCCCATCTTGCTATTTGTTTTCTCTCTTCCATCTTCTTCAATTTTTCCTTTTGCTTATCTTTTTCCCGCTTTCATCTCTTCTTAGATTTTTGCTGTATCTTTTAGTGCCATTCTCGACGGTATCTTCCTGTAAAGAGGATGAAGTTTGGTTCTGGCAGACTGTGAGGTTACCAGCGCGTCTCCCTCTTCCTGCCTAGTCTTGGTTTAGTCCTCGTTAGGGTGGGTTTTCTCAGTGCTTGTTCTCCAAGGGTGTTGTTCTTGCTCCTGCAGTGTGGTCCCTGCTTCAGGGTGTGGCCTTTTAAGGGGTCTTAAGTGAAGGAGCCTCCATCCCCTCCCACTGGGCCCAGCTCTCAGTGACCCTGATGGCACATGACCCCGTTTGGCGCCGCTGTTCAGACACATGCCAGGCCTGTCCTCCGTCCTCATCCTCGCTCAGCTTAGGGCGCTGTTGTGCGGACTTGGGGAGTTCCTTCTCAGCAGCTGCTGCTCCCCAACCCCGTCCCATCGCGCTATCTCGGCAGCTCCGCCCAACGAGACTGAGGCTCCCTGGACTCTGCCTTCCTGCCGCAGTTCAGAGAGCACCTGGGAGCAGAGGGGAAGGTGAGGCCCTGTGGCTTCCCCTCTGAGGATAACAGCCCTGCCTTGGTGGTCACCTCCTGCCTACCCGCGGGCGGTCACATACTCTGTCCAGGTTTTGTAGTTCGTGGCAGAGGGCGGGCGAAAGTCTGTCATCTTTGTAGTTTCAGCCTTTGGTTGCTGAGCATCATGGTGGGCACTTTTCCTGTGAGGTGACCCACGTGCGCGCTCACCGAGGAGAATGCTGACCACAGCGAAGCCGCGTGTGAGCGCCTGCCACCCGCGAGGCGGCTTGCCGAGTCCTGTGATGGCTGCTGCGTTAGTTACTGCAGCTGTGTAACAGAGGACCCCAACATTTAGCAGCTCAAAACAACACATCTTGTCCCTCAGGGTTCTGTGGGGCAGCAGTCTGGACGGGGCTTAGCTGGCTTCTCTGGTCAGGGTCTGTCCCGAGGCTCCACAAAGGTGTCGGCCGGGGCTGCTATCATCTCAGGCTCAACTGGGGCGTCTGCTTCCAGCTTCCTCTCGTGGTTGTCGGCAGGGTTCAGCGTCTTGCAGGCTTTTTGTTCAAGGCTCCCAAAGTCAAGCCCCGTGTGGGCCTCTCCGCAGGGCAGCTCACGGCACAGCAGCCTCCTGGCACAGAGAAAGAGAGGGTGACCGAGTGGAGGCCAGTCTTGTGAGCTGATCTCGTGAGGGGCTGCCCATTACTCCTGGTGTATTCTCATCCGAAGGGGGTCCCTAGGCCCGGGCCTCGCCTGGGGGAGGATTACAGGAACGTCAGGAGCGGGGGCAGGCACAGGCCACCTTAGAAACTGCCCGCCACTCTCTTCCTCCTCGTTTTCCAGAGTTGGAATTTCTCTAGGCCCAGAGAAACAAGATGAGTCACTCAAGGCCACAGTTAATGGATCAGAGCTGGTGTTTGAGTTTTGTGTGCTGTCTCCAGAGCCCAAGTGATTACGTTCTAGGAGTCGACCTCAAGCTGCAGCCCCCCGTGTCCCCCCTGTAGCCCGCACTGCGCCTTCTGTGCCGCAGGCCGCCTTGGGAGCCAGCCATGCTGCTTGCCCCGGGCTCGGCTTCAGAAGGAGAGGCAGTGTGTGTGGGGCCCTGCTCGGTGCCAGGCTGGTCTGCGTGCTTCTTGCAGACCTGCCTGTTTATCTGTGTAGCAGCCTCGTGGGTAGGACATGACTGCATGTCCGTTTTACAGAGGGGAAACTGAGGCGGGGAGCACCTCGAGCTGTGCAGAGCCATGCAGTAGGGGGCTGCAGAGCACGCGGGGAAGGGTGTGCGCCCGCCTGCCTCTTAGGGTGAGGTGTGCGAATGCCCCTCCATGGTGTTCCTGTCATGTGTGCTCTCACCACATGACTCGGGACTGGGCGCGTGCTCACAGCTGCGTTTCTTGGCAGCTGACGACAGCGCTCCAGGCTCCTTCCTTTGCGTCCTGCCTCTGCAAGTGCGTGGAATAAGATTCGAAGTGACACTAAGGTGTTGGTTCCTGTCATCAGGATGGGGTGTGTTAGCCTCCGGATTGTAGCGGCTGACCCGAGCATGCTTCGCTCTGCGCAGGTATCAGCGCGGCTGCCGCTCTCTGGCTGCCAATCTGCAGCCCTTCACTCAGCAGCGGCCTGAACCGCAGACGCTCCTTGTGCCTTCTGACTGCCACGAAGACGACGTCCCAGAGGGCGTGGAGAGCGTGATTGGTACGTGGGCCACAGCCATGCTCCCTCGACCACCTCTGGTCCTGGGCGTCATCTGGGCCGTTCCCCTTCCCTCTGCAACCGTGCGCTTCTTCCCCTCCTGGTGCTGGCACCACCTGGCCATCCGTCACCTTTGCTGAGCACGTGGCCCCTGCCTGTCTTCTGGACCTTCTCTTCCCGGGTACCCTGGAACCTGGCGTGTCTCAGCCCCTTTGCCACGTGGCTCCCATGCATCTGACCCGGATGCGCTGCTCGCCCCGGGTGGCTGGGTAGCCCCGCAAGGAAGGTCTCCAGCTCCCTGGCCCCTGCACCTGCTCTGTCCCTCACACTTTTCTCAGGAGCCGTCTCAAATCCTCTTCACCACCTGACACCTCATAGAGCCCTTGACCCACTGCCCTGTTGCTCCCATGGTGGCTTCTGCTGCAGAGCCCCCACTGTGGCCACTGTGGGACTGGCTCCTGTCTGCACCCCTCCTGTGCTGGGTAGGAGGTCCTCCTGCCCGCACGGCCACCCCCTCTCCTCCTCCCTCCCCCTCCCTGGGGGTCCCTCGTCTGTGCGGGGGCCCTTGGCATGGGCCTTCTCCTGGGGCGGGCGAGCAGCTGCTCTCTGCTACTACTTTGGTGAATCTACTCCTTAGAAACAGTGGCAAAAATTGGCTTATGTGATTATTTGAAAATGTAGAGAAGGAATTTTTTTTTTCTTATAGTTAAAATTAATATTGTTACCATGATTCCCTTCAGGGTGTTCTTCTGAGTAGCATGCAGGGTGGGTGCCCCAAGGCTGGGGAGTTCAGACTTTATCTGGAACACGGTCTGGTGATCCCGCGGCACACGTGGGCCTCACCTGCTTCCTGTCTCCACAGAGCAGCTGCTGGTCGGGCTGAAGGACAAGGACACCGTGGTGCGGTGGTCTGCCGCCAAAGGGTAGGTTCCCAGGGGCGGTGGGGTGGGCAGGCGCCTCGGCACTTGCCAGCCTCCCATCCTAAAGTGCTTCACACGTGATGTGAGAGCCGCAGACCGTCACAGATTGGGGGAAGAATGATTTTTAAGTTTACGCTTACTACTTTACATCTTAGTTTAAAAGATAATTATTGAGGTGGAATTTTAGTCTCCTTCGTCATCTTGCCTTTCTGGCCAGGGTGTGCAAAATGATGAGCAGGCCAAATTTGTCCTTTTAAGAAATCTTTTAAGTGTTCTCTTCCTTACTTTTCCACATCATCATCACCGTACCCTCTCCTGTTCCCCGACAGACGAGAGGGGCACAGTCCCCGGTAGTGACGGTGCTGGGAACAGCTGCTTTCGTGGGGTGAGCAAGGGCCAGCATCTTGTTCTACCCCACGGCAGCCGAGCAGGCGGGGCTGCTGTCATCCTGGTCGTGCCTGCAGGACTGGTGTGCCTCGGTGGAGGACGCGGGGCAGACCCAGCAGGGCCAGGCCGTGAACACAGTGCACAGAGCCCTGGCCTTGAGCCACACAGAGATGTTTGGGTGTCAGGGAGACCCCTGTTGTGGAGGAAACAGCAGGGTGTGAGGGGCTGGCAGGTGCTGGGAGCCGAGTTCCACCGGAAGCTCTCCTGGGAGACCTCCACAGGCTCGGGGGCTGGTGGGGCTCACATGGGCCTGTGCGTCTCTGTCCTGACGCGCAGCGTCTCAGCCGACATGTCTGGCTGAGCGAGATGGGTGGCGCACAGTGGGAGGGCTGGGGAGGGCCTTCCTGGAGGCTTCTAGCCGGGACCCTTTCCACGAGTCTGTCTCTAGGACTTGGGCCATGAGCCGGCCCCAGGGCTCCCTTGTGTGGAGCCTGGACCCCACGTCACAGCTGCCGGGGGCTCGGTCAGAGCCCGGGGGAAGTGGGGCAGCTCAGCCCCACCGTGGTGGGCTCTAGGTTGAAGCCCTCAGTGTTCACCTGGTGCCTCAGTGCTGTTCACTGCGGGGGAACGGCAGTGTCTGTGCTGTTGCGGTCAGAGGGGACCGTGTGGCCTGCCCACTTGCCCTGGCTGCCCACTCGCCCCCTTTGCCTCTGCCCTCTCCTCAGAGCGGTGGGCTCCTCGCCCGTCTCCGTATCGTAACACGACGGGCTCCCTGACAGGCAGGCGGCGCGTTCTTGAGCAGAACTGAGGGGGCTTGCCTTGGGTCAGCCTCTGCCTTCACGTGCTCCGGAGGGACATTTACACGTGTGGCGTGTGCCGCCCTCGACAGGCCAGCAGTACTGACGGTTGTTGCTTTTCCGTTTCAGAATCGGCAGGATGGCTGGACGGCTTCCCAAAGAACTGGCGGACGACGTGGTTGGGTCTGTGTTGGATTGTTTCAGGTACGTGAGACGACCAGAGGGAGACGTGTTTCTGTCTCAGCCTTACGTATGGAAGCAGTGGCTTTTCTTTCCCTATATCCTTTTATGTTTTCTTCCAATTGAACTCTTTGTCAGGACCCCAAAAGCTTCCTTTCCTGCTTTTTGAAGTTAAACTTGGGAACTCTGTTTCTGGTACATTGCTTATATCAACTCCACTATATTCGAAAACCTTATTCACAAAGAAAAGTCAGTTTTGAACATGCACACGTGGGAAAAACTCTGGTTGTCCGAGCAAGAGTCAAGTCTGCACCGTCAGAGAGAACTTTCTGGGATGATGGAACGTTCTGGATCTGTCCCTAGCATGGCTGTTGGCCACAGGTGTTGCTGAGACCCTAAAATGAGGCCAGTGTGACTGAGGCCTGAGATTGAAATTGAATTGGATTTTGATGAATCGGAATTTATGCTTAGACGGCCACGTGTGCCACGCCACGTCTGCCTTGGCCTCTCGGGGGTCTGTGGCCTGCAGAGGCGTGCGGGGTCCCAGCCTACGCAGGGTGGGGTGGTCCCCCGCCCCCGAGGGCTCTTCGTCCTGCTGTGTCAGTGTCTCCGCCAGCATTCAGGGCCTGTCACGCTGCCCTTCGTTAGCCCGGGACGTCGGGACTGTCGCTGCAAGGCTGTGACTGGCGTGGGAGCTGCGCTGTCAGCACTGTCGGGTGTTCCCGTGCATGTTGCCTGTCAGTCACCAGGGGCAGCTCCGCGAGCAGCCTGCAGTGCTGTCTTCCTTCTGGAGCAGGTTTCTTGCAGTTTGCCTCCAGCCTGCCTAGTGACAATTTAAGGAGTGTAGGAAACAATGTGTCAAATATTGGCCATCTGTTTCAGAAAAATGCTGCATGTATGGCAAATACTCTTCTGGCGGAAACATTCCTAGCAGAAAACATACGCCCCTTACCGTGATTGCTTTGTGGGTGCCTGCGTTAGAGGACAGTAGCCTTCAGCCTCTCCCGATGTGCTTCTGCTGGCTCATTTCAGCGTGTGTCCCTGGAGCTCCTCCCTGGCGGCGGTGGGACACGGCCTTCTGCCGGCTGGTGACACCGCGCCCTTCACGGCCGTGTGGCAGGTTCCAGGCCCAGCTCTCCACGTCTGTCTTGCTCTTCTCTGGCAGCTGAGCCTTCTGCTCAGTCAGGCCGAGCATGTCCAGGTGGACTCACCGAACATCTTCTCTCTCACATTTACTGCTTCTCTGGACTATGTGTTCCTTCTCCCAGCTCACAGTCTTGGTCTTGTTTCTTCCGTCCTGGCTAGTTTCACGTACCCGCTCACGGCCCCCACCGTTTTCTGCTGTGACCACTCCACCGAGACCGCCTGGGCTTGGGTCTGAGGCAGGAGCGTGCTTGGCTGCCGCCTCCCCCTGTGCCCTGGTCCTGGGGATAGGGTCCCCTAGGCATGAAGTGTGCAGTGGCGCCGTTGGCAGGTCCTCTGGACGGGGCCACCTTTACATAGCGACTGTCCACCAGCTTCAGTGAACTCATTTAATTCGGGAATAGACATTGGCCTAACAGACGTTTGTTTTAGTGTATTTGAGTTGTCATAGTGTTGGTATTTTGTAAAGTTCATTCAAATCCTTTTAAATCTTTATGAAAGTGTAAAACACCTCTCTCTAATCACAATCCTAAAGGAACAAGTACCCACGTTAGATGTTGAAAATGGTCACGCAGCCTTTGGGTGCTTGTAAAACGTGGGACTCAGAGGACGTTATCATTGTTGTTGAGTCTCCGTGGACGGGGAGCTCTGAGGGCCGGCTGCGTCTGTCGGCCGCCGTCTCCTCAGGGAAGGCGCTTGCCAGAGACCTGTTGAGTGAACGGTTACTCCTCGACTCTCCTGTCTAAACATTGCTGTGCTTTATTGCCAGCTAGTAATGCAATTTAGTTAGTTTTCCTAAACATTCCTGTGCTATCACCTTAATCAGAATCCGTAAAGGCCCTATATTTGTTTTGCTTTTTGGCAAAGTGTGTTTCCATGTTTCTGCTGGCAGTAAAGTATGGAAACTTCAGAATAGCCCTCATCAGCGTAAGAAACGGTTACTCTCACTACAATGCCAGAGTCGCATTGTTAGGAGAGCTTCTGAACCACTTCAGGAAAATTTTTATTGAATGTGAAATATTACTTATGACTTAATTCATTGGCATTACAATTATTCATTAAAAGTCCATATTTCGACTGGCTGCCCTGAAAAGCCATCTTTGCATTGTTCCCGGGTCCAGCTTCCTACTCCCCTCAGCCACCTCCGCTGCTGCGGGCTCCGGCAGCCTTACCGCCAGTGTCGTGAACTCTTGCTTTCCTTTCAGTCCCTCCGTCAGGCCTCTGTCGCCCCCGTGTCAGACGCAGCCGTGGACACCAGCTCTGAGATCAGCGCCAAGGCCTCAAGAGGAGAAGGAGGTGGCGGAGGATGGAAGAGACGCTCTGCTAGTGGGAACACTAATGAGGACAACGGGGCGAGGAGGCTGGCGGGGTGATGAGGAGGGAGGAGGAAGGTGATAGTGAGGAAGAAGATGGAGATGAAGATGAGGAAGCTGAAGATGATGAGGATGACAATATCAATACCAAGAAGCAGAAGACTGAGGATGACTAGACAGCAAAAAAAGGAAAAGTTAAACTGAGAAAAAAAAGTTAAAAAAAAAAAAAAAACAAATGCCACTGTGAACTGTTCACCTCCACTTCCTGTCTCAGAATCTAAATGTCACCTTGGAGCAGAGAGGCCACCCGCCCCCAGGCAAGCCCCCTACAGGTGGCACGCGCTGCCCACCATCTAAACCTTGAGAATTTGCAACGGGAGGAAACAGGAACCCAAACTTCCAAGGCCCGGCTTTTTTTCTTAAAAGTACCTTAAAAAGGAAATTAGTTTGTATTTTTTACTCACACTTTACATTTTTGTACGTATTGCTAGGGGTTGGCCATTTTTAATGGTCTGGGACGACCAAACCAGCCTTCGGAGCATTCTCTGTCCTACTTCTGGCTCTGCCTGAAGTGTGCCCATATTCACTATAATCTCCAAGGAGAGAAAAACCTTGTTAAATAGAAAAGCAAAAACAATGAAAAAGCATTCTTATTCAGAGCATTCCAGTAACTTTTTCTGTGTATGTACTTAGCTCTTCTGTAAGTAGTTGGTTTGTGTGAGATGATGGTTAAAAAGGCCAAAGATAAAAGTTTTCTTTTTTCTCCTCTTTTTGTCTTTGGAGTTGCTGTTTGTTTCTTGGCCTGTTTGATGTATGTGTGAAACAGTGTTGCCCAACAACAAACTGGAATTTTGTGTTGCTGAGTTGTTCTAACAAGCAAGTTCGTATTTTATACGGTACAAAGAAAGTCTGAATACCACTTCATTCTAATGTTTTTATCTTGAATTTGATCACGGAATTAAGCAGTGGGGTATCAATTTAACGAAGTCTTCCTCCTCCTTTTTCTAACATAATCTTAATTTGATAGAAGTCCTGTCTTTAGGCCTAGGCTTTTCTGAAGTGTATTATTACTTCTAACGGGAGTGGGGGTGCTGCTCCGTGACCTCGCAGCTGGAGCCCCACGGTGGGGAGACGGGGTGGGCTGGCAGCCGGGTGATGCGGACTGCGGAGCGTCCCTGCGCTCGGGTCTGGGGCTGACTCAGAACTTGAGCTCGTCATCAGGACATCTGAAGAGAGGTGCAGATGAACGCGGCAGTTATCTTCATGTTAAATGGGGGTGTTTCATTCTTCCTCCAGCTGATGTTTTGGGATTTACCAACAGGGTTTAGTGAGGCTTGCCGTGCAGAATGTGGCCTTGCGGCCTGCACTCCTTGCTACACCGTGGGCTGTGACCCCAAAGCTGACAGAACTCTGGGTCTGATGTCTGTCTCAGGGACTTTGTTGTGCTCAGTTTTCAGGAGACGGATAAGGCCTGGCATGGCGGATGTCTGGCGCTGGCGGAACTGGGCAGGAGAGGCCTGTTGCTTCCGTCTCGACTTGCAGAGGGTAAGTAGGTGAAGCCCTGTCAATCCGTGTACGCTGGGGTCCAAGCCCACCTCCTCAGTGTGGCCCAGCCTTGAACGTTTACTAAGCATTTGCACGAAGGAGTGTATCCGACCCGTGTCTCTCAACCCGTTTTCTCATATCAGTCTTGATAACTTCCTAATTGCCTTTTCTGCCCGTTGTAACCTGTTAATGCCACAGATACCCTGCATACCTGGTTTTAGAGGCCTTGAACCATTGTAATGTCTGATTTTCTTAGCCCTGGAACCAGTTTTTATTCTCGAGGGTGGTGTTGCCCGTGAAGAGCACCTGCAGCGGTGCCGCACTTGCGCTGTGGAGCCGGGCGTCGCTGGCAGCGCTTGCGTCACTGCAGGGACAGTGCTCCGCTGAGTGACGCTTCTGCCAGCGTGGAGTCGGGGTGCAGGGCCAGGGAGGCTCTGCTGTGGGCGGCAGCGGGTGGGGACGGGCACAGCACAGTGGGTGCCGGGGTGCCGCCTCAGACCAGTGGCCGGGCTGTCGTGTGCAGCCCTATCTGGTGGGGGACAGCCCCGGGCATGGGCGGGGGGAAGGGATGTCTGCGAGGGATGGAGAGGGCTCCGTCCCAGGAATGTTACCATGGACGCTGCGCACCCAGGGAGGGGACGTCTGCCTGAGTCAGGACGTCCGAGGTGGTGTGGCTGTGCCTTTTACCAGCCCGAGCTGTGGCGGTACCTGAAGTGATGGCTTTGCACTTGGCGTCGTGATGCATGAAGAGATCTTGCAGAGCCTGCAGTTTTTATTTAATCTGCTAATTTTTTTTAACAGCTTTATTAAGATATAGTTTACATACCATAAAGGTCACTTTAAAGCATACAGGGAAGTGGGTTTAGTATATTTGCAGAGTTGTATGGCCATCACCATAATTTAATTTCAGAGCATTTTCATTGCCCCCAAAGAAACCCTGTACTCACGAGCGGTGATCTCCCTTCCTGCGCAGCAGTCCAGCCCCGGGCTCCTGCTAACGCTCTTTCTGTCTCCACGGATTTGTCTTTTCTAGACATTTCCTGTAAATGGAATTGTAATATGTGGTCTTTCGTGTCTGAGTTCTTCCGCTCCGTGAGCTTCGATGCTCCTCCATGTGGTGGCTGTGTCAGCATCTTTCCCGTCCGATGCTGAGCAGGTTTCCCTCGTAATCTGCACCACACTTGGTCCTGTCCATCGGTCGACGGACATTTGGTTCTTTCTGCCTTTTGACCATATGAATAATGCTGCTGTGGAGATTTGTGTGCACGTTTTGTGCGGACATACGTTTTTGTTTCTCTTGGTAGCCCTAGGAGTGGAACTGCTGGGTCCTGTGGTCACTCTGTGTTTAACTATTTACGAAATCACCAAACTTTCTAAAATGATCGCACCATTTTGTATCCCCACCAGCAGTGCACGAGGGTTCCGGTTTCCCCACATCCTCACCGACACTTGTTTTTATGGGTTTTTTTAAATGATAGCCATCCTGGTGAGTCTGCACCCCCTTGCCAGTTGGCATCTGCAGTTCTGTATAAATCTAACCGGCTACAAACCTGCTGTTGGCTACCCTGAGCACTGCCATTTTAAAATAAAACTACTGCGTCGCTCTTCTAAAGATGTCCAAGGAATCTAGGTGTCTGAATAACATTGTGTTTATCATCATCCACTAAAGATTTTGTAGGCAGGTTTTCCTTTCACAGGAATTTCATCCTTCCTTTTTCTCTGTGAGCCATATTTCCATTTGCTTTGCCCAGAGAACTTTTTCTCCGTGGAATGTGTTTCTGTGCTTAAGAATCTTTTATCAATCTCCTTATCATGTATCTGCAACAAAGAGAAAGTATGTGACTAGAAACTTTAACTTTTACAGTTTGTGTGGCCATAAGGTGCTAAACTTTTTTTTGAGACAGAATCTCGCTCTGTTGCCCTAACCAGAGTGCAGTGGTGCAATCACAGCTCACTGCAGCCTCCACTCCTGGGCTCAAGTGACCCTCCTGCCTCAGCCTCCCAGAGTCCTGAGACTACAGGTGTGAGCCACCGTGCCTGGCCAAACTGCTAAACTTTTAAAAGTTTTTCTAAATTGAGTTTAAAAAATTTTTTTAGTACAAAGTTGACCAAAACAACATAAAATAGCATTTTATTAAAATTCAGCTCTTAATAAGATGGATTTCTATTAATAGTTTGAGTTAGCTTTTGATGAGTCATGCTTTTGCCCAGAATAAGGCAAAGTTCTACATCAATACTATTTTTTATCTTTATTTTTAGCTCAAAGTACTAAAGAAGCCTTGTTCACATAAATAAGTAGTTGGGAATGGCAGGAATTTTGCTTTTGCTATGCTGGTGGTTTGAACTTTTCCAGGTTTGCTCCAGATCACCGTGTGCTCTGTCTTTGGGCAGCTTTGCTGGGGCCTCCGCAGTCTCGGTGAAGGGATGAACCGAGAACCACCTGCACCGTGGAAGGGTTTCTCACCCAGTCCCTGGAGTGCTCCCTGTCCTCCGCGCCCACAGCGCGGTTTCCCGTGTTGGGTGAGGGCCTGACTCTCAGAGTGGGAGAAGGCGCTGCTGTGACAAGGGATGTGGGGGAGAGAGCCCTTTCTCAGGTAGAGCTTCGGGAGTGGAGGCTCCGGAAACAGTCTCTGCGTTGCTGAGGCCTGAGGGGAGCAGGACCATACTTGGCCCCCAGTTTATACACATGCACACATGTGCGCACATGTACTCACATGCACACCTACATGGGCACACACGTGCATGTACACACGCACACACACTCCCACACGTGCTCACTTACGTACCTTCACACGGTCAAACACACGTGTGCACACCTGCTCTGCTGTCTCAGCTATAAGGTTTTTCATCGAGTATCATGGCAAAATACTCTTAACGACAACACAGGATTTATTTTGTCTTCACTTTATGTATCTTTAAGGTTCACATGAGTGTTGGAAAATTAGCAACATACACATCATTTTAGGGAATGGAGAACAAGACTGAATAAGCCGGAAAATTCACTGTAACATCATAAGCAGATAGAACAATTGAAAATACCTTCACCGGTAACACGTTTTCCCTAATGGAAATAAATTATTTGTATAAATAGCCTCTTGATGTTTGTGTGTTATTTAGTCATAACAAATCACAACATTCTTTTACATAGTGTCTTTAATGCTAGTACTGAAAATGTTTTTTCCTAATTTTTTTCAGTAATCGTTATTTATTTCAAAATACACAGCTAAATCTAATAGAAAACCAACTAAAACAATTTGTTCTAGTGCTAAAATATTTGTAAGAAAAGTATTGTGGAAGATCTCCCGTAAGATGGCTTACACCTCAGAGTCACCTTCTGGTTCCACACGTGTCATTTGACATTTTACAAAAATGAAAGCGAAAGTTTAATTCATCGATCTTAGAGTACATGAGTCACAGATGTTTGTACAACCAAAAGTAAAAGCACCTTTTAACATTCGTGTCTACTATTTACAAAAACCGAATTGCAACTTGTTTCTGTAGTTTGAGGAAACTGCGTTTGCAGAGACCGACCAGGCAGGAGGGGGAGGTGGTCCCTCGACCAAGTGCCACAGCTGGGGCAGGCGCGCTCGGACTTAGGACACCCGGGTTCTTCTTCGCAGAGTGAGCACTCGCGCGGTGTCATTCGGCTTCGCTCTCTTAGCTCCTTGCTGGGATTTTCCTGTGTCTCTTTGGCTTGTCCTCTTTTGTCCTTTGGGTCTGAGGTCACATGGAGCCTCTTGACTTTCCGTGGAACTGAGAGTGGGCGAGTCTTGCGAGCAAGTGGCCTCCTGTGCTGGGGGCTCCCCGTCGCCCACCCGGACGTTCCCTGGGCTGTAGGCTGCCAGCTGGCACAGGGCCACGGCCGCTGTCTGCTTCTGCTCCTCGCTGCTGTCCACTGCGCGTGCATCCGGGGCCTTCCTGCTGGGGCTGGTTGACCGGGCTGCATCAGCGTCCTGGTTGTCTTGCTTCGTCTCAGTGTGGCTTCCATCTCCGGAATTTTCTGTTTCAGTCTTTAGAGCAGCAGTTGCAGCCGGTTCTGCACCTCGTGGTCGACTGGGGAAGGCAGACCTCGCAGGCCGGGCATTGCAGGGGTCCCGCACCGAGAGGTTGAGAGGCAGGTCCTGCAGCTCTGGGAAGCCTGCGGTTTCTACCGGGGAGCTGCCTGCGTACACAGGTCCCTGCACGGCTGCCAGCTTTGTGTCTGATTTCGTGGAGAGGTTGAGGGGGCTTGTCCTGGAGCTGTCCTCTGGGCTGGAAGGTGGGGCCTCGGCGAGGAGACTGGTGCTGCCTGTCTGAGTGAGCGGTTCTCCGTCCACAGTGCCGAGGCTGGAAGAGGCCAAGAGAAAGCTTAGCAGGAACTTGCTTAGCAAAGCGACCATGTAAAGCAGCTGGAGCAAGTACAAATGTGGCTAACTGAGCCCAGCCCAAAACATTACCTTGGAGGTTTCAAAAATGAAATTTCTTACCTTTTTGGAGACTCCGCTCTGTTCGGGGGAGCCTGGGCGGCATGTGGGCATTCCACGCTTCTCTTGACAGGCTTGAAGGCTGTGAGGCTTTGCTCGGGCTGGGGGGGTCTCGCCAGGGTGCTGGGGGCCGCCTTGTTGGAGAGGTCGCACAGACCCTCGCACGTCTGGCTTGTCTGTGTGAAGTTGGTGGGGCTCGGCCTGCCGGGGGAGCCCGTGGCCGCGCTGCCCGCGCGGGGGCTCATCTTGGCCCCCTCTGTGTCCTTCTGCCCGGCCTTGGCAGGGTCTTTGGCCTCAGGGACTGGACTTCCTTTTTCAAACTCAGTGTGTTTTTTGTGGGAGTTCGAAGAGTTTAACTTGGAGGGACCCGAGGCTGGGTAGACTGGGGGGGTTTCATCAAGTGGGTGGGAGCTTTGATCTTGTGTGATGCCCGTGGCGGGCGGGAGTCTGAGACTGTAGGAGGAGAACGCAGACTCTGGCCTGTAAAATCCATAAGGAATTGGCAGGTTGGAGTGATACTGCTGAAAAAATCTGTAGTGGTCGTATGTGGACAGAGGTGGGTTCAGGTGCTTAGGGGTTGGCCCCGGGGGAGGTAGGAAGTGTCTTTGGTCTTGAGTGCCGTAGAGCGACAGCAGGGGCGCGTCACACTCGGGCGAGCTCCCAGCCAGCAGGTAGGGTGAGTAGATGGTGGCCAGCCCATGCTCTGTGTAGAAGTGAGGTGGGTACTCTGGGATCGTGGGGTGCACATAAGGGGAAAGGGCCCCAAACCCCTTTGTTGATGAGATTTTAGGCGAAAACTCTGGCGGGAGGAAGGGTGAGCCAGCTTTCCAGGGGTAGCTGGGTGCGTGGAACGCAGACTTGGCGTGGAAGGCCGTGGCCTTGGCCGTGGGGCTGGTTAATGCCAGCAGTTCTGGTCCCTCGGCATTTTCTGGCCCCTTGAGTCTGTGCTCCCCAACTGGAACAAATGCCGACGGGCGAACCACGCCATCCAGGGCAGGCTGGGTGCCGGGGGAGGCTTCTGGAGCTGGGCTCGGGGGCGCCGTGTCCTTACGGAGCACTGGCTTCTGTCCCGGGCACCTATGGGGCCCCCGAGCTTGCAGCTCCAGGTTTTCCTTGACGTCTTCCTTGGCGAAGCTGCGCTGGAGCTTTGAGTCAAAGCCGGAGAGTCCGTTTGTGACAGACTTGGAGGCGGCCGGCTGAGCCGTGGGGCTTGGCAGGGTGGTTTGCTTGGGGTCTGTTGAGTTAGCTTTAGGGCACTTGGGAACTCGGTCTTGCTCTGACACTAGTGTGATGGAGTTTTTGCAGAGGCCGTACTTCATGTGATTGAAGAGATGTGACTTCTCATTGCAAGTGAAGGGACACTGGAAACATTTGTACTTGAAGGGCTTTCCTGGAGGCCTTGGGATGTAATGTGGCTTTTTTGGCTTTCGCTCCTTGAGAAGACTCATGGCACCTCTCTGTGTTTCGGACTCTGGCCTTCTGCGTGGCGTGATCACTGCTGACTCCTGTGTAACTCAGACGTGGTTGTTTTTAAAGCCTGACGTTTCCTTTCCTTTCTAAGCACTTTATCTGGCGTTGGCTCCACTTGCCCAGGGTCTACCGAGGAAAGTCTCATGCGTCGGGTGGCCGGAGCTGCGCTGTGGACAAATGACGGGTTAGTGGGTTCGAGAAAAGCTGGCCTGACCTCGCTCACATCACTGCAGAGACGCGGCACGTGGCGCACTCGCGGCCCCACCTCCCTGCTCCTGCCAGGACGCAGGGACGCAGCTCTGTTCTCGGGTAGCCCGGCTGCAGGCTTCCCCACGAGTTTCTGTTTTCCTGAACCTGACCTGAGAGAGTTGCCTTGGGCCAAGAGGAGCGTGGTGTGTGGAGTGCTGCGTGTCAGTTCTGGGACTACCTGTTGTTCACTGAGTCTGGGGAGCTTTGGCCCTGAGATCTGCACCTTTCCTCAAGAGTGCCCCCCGGGGTTGAGAGGCCAAGCCCCGACTCTGCTTCCCCCGGCACTGTTCCCAGCGCAACCTGCACGGCCATCACCACCGTGAGCTCACACACTCGGAGCAGTGCCCTTCAGTTAAATGCTTTGTGGCAGTTCTGCCCACTTTAACCACGTTGGTGTATTCCGCGATTGGGTGTTTCACTTGAAACATGCAGCTCTACCCTGACTCCTTCCAGAGCCACCAGTGAAAAGTCAACTTTACCGTTAAGTAGCGTTTATGTTTCTCAAGGGACGAATGTAAGTCCGGTGTGTTAACACAGATGGTTTGAAGTCCCGGAGTGACTGTGTGTTCCCATGCTCTGCACCACTTGCTGATGTGGGTGAGCTCCCGTGTTGACCCAGCCCTGCTGTCCAGGAAGCTTGGCCGCGCCTGCAAAGGCAAAACCAAAGCTTCGCAGCTCCGCCGTCCAGGGAGAGCAGCGTTTGGTCCCCGTCACGGAGGTGGTTGGGTCGTGGGAGAGCGCTGTCAGGAAGTGGGCCCAGGCTCTGGCCACGCCCACTGGTGCTGCAACCTGCCAGGGCCTGCGAATGTGTCTGGCCTGGCTGTCCGGACAACCTCAGAAGGTGTCCCTCTCCCCTCCCCAGCTCCAGGTTTCCTTTCGAGGCCGCTGTGCACATACCTGGGTGCTCGCTCAGCTCCTGACCTAGCACTGGGGACCAGGGCCCGGGTCTGTAGGCTCCCGACAGCGCCCAGGCGAGGGCGTGCGGGCAAGGGGCTGGGCCTCGGTGCCGTGGATCAAGGCTGGGCACTTTAATTCGTGTAAAAAATGTAAAAAGGAAAAGGTATTTAGCTTCCAAATATTTTTAATAGTTTAAAAATTAAATTTAAATGATTTAAGAAAAACTGTTTCAGCTGGTTTTGTTCTGAGGCATGAGCAGATATGCTCGGTCCTGCGTCTCTTTGAGACTTCACATACGAAGCATCACCTTCTGGACGCTGGGTGGTTAAAACAGTCCACTGAGCAGCTTTTTAAACAAAATGTGGATGGGAAATCTGAGAGGTCTGTTGTCACAAAATAAAACGTCATTCTCACCCACGTCTCCGTCCCTCCCACACACCCTACCCAGATGAGGTCACGCGAAGCAGCTGCAGGAATGGGGCCTTGATTTTCACATGGATGCCTTAAATTCTAAGAAAGCTGCCTGCTTATTTCCCAGCAAACTGGTTTCTCCACTCATTTATTCATATTTCTTAAAAGCACAAAGCACCGTACTCTCCCCACCACCAGCTGCTTCTGTTAACGCATTTTAAGTTCTTTAGGGCATGTACTTACTAAGCAGTGGTTTGGGTGGAGAGGAGGGCTGTGCTGTGGACGGAGCTCCTGCGTGGCAGTGAGGGTGGGGCCTGCGTTTTGGGTGAGAAGTAAGATGTTTGGTTGCCCCATAGCCTGGGAGGGTGTCAGGTGGACAGAGTTCCAGCCGGTGGGTCGGGGCCGGTGACACCCTGGGACCAGAACCCGTGCCCAGCGGCACCCGCACCGTGTGCCGAGGCTGCAAGGCGCCGGGTCAGAGCCAAGCAGCCTAAACGGGCAGCAATAGCGTTGCCTTTCCACTCCTCCCCTTATTAAAAGAAAAAGTGGGGAAAATTCTTCGTGGCTCGGGCCGCACCTGGGGGCAGGTCTGCCCTGGGTGGAGGGGGCACAGCAGCCCGGCCTCCCTTCAGGAGCCGGAGGAAGGAGCGGGGCCTGATCCCAGCTGAATGCGGGGCCAGCCGGGTAAGTCAGTGGGCCTGTGCGGGCTCGCCTCGCCCTGCTCCCGGCCCCGGAGGCGTGGGAACCTCTGTGAGGCAGGTTCCCAGGGGTGTGTAGGATATGTCACGGCAGAGATCTGAAAACCGATGATTCCACCACTAGCTGGAAGCATCACGATCAAAATGATGACAGCTGCAAAACGTTTATCAAGTGAGAGCCGCGTCCCAGCGATACCAGGCGGGGACGCACACACGCCACCCCCACCTCTACAACACGAGAGCTGGAAGGAACAAAAGATTCCCTCAGGGTTTAAGAAAGTGAAGCCTTCAGTTTTAGAAGCAGCATTATTTCCTATTGCTGACACTTTCAGGCAAAAAAATAAGTAACCCATATTGGTTAAGCTTTCCCAAAAGTCTCAAAGGAGGCAAGTTTTATAAAAGTTGACCGACTATCACCGCAGAGAATGGTTTGGGGAATAATTGCTTTTATGTTAATATGTTCTTTCCGGTCAAATATTGTTGTCTTTGAGGTTTTGAGCTCTGCCATTTTTGTCCTTGGTCACTCAGCTCACGGGGCGGCAGACAGGGCTGGGGAGGAGGTGCCCCCCGCGTCTCCTTCACAGGGACAGTGTTTTAGGGTTTGATCACCCGAAGGGGATTTGCTTAAAAACGGAGTCTTGGGGCAGCAGTTTTGGTAACCTCGGATAAACCGACTGCTCAGGATTGCACAACTCGCTGATGAAACAGAGAGCAGGGCTGTTTCAGATGTGGGACGTGCAGTTCGCTTGATCTATAAAACTGCCGTAGCGTCGGGGTAAGCGGGATAGAACCGAGGCTTCTGTAAGCTTTTGGGGGTGACGTCAGCGAGAGCTCTGTCTCCTGCCTGCGTGAGGTTTGTGAGGGTGAAGAGACTAAACTGACCGCCGGGGCCAGCCAGTCACACCTGTCTGTGACACAGAGGTCTGGCTCGTCTCCGTCTGGTCAGCTTATTCCTGCTGGGCTTCGTCTCTGTCCAGCTGTCCTGGCAGCTGTCAATGCTAAAGGTTCCAGAAAGAGTGTAGTATTGCCAAAACAGTATAATCCAGAACTTTAAGTGTTTACAGTAAGTTTGGATTTGCATTCAGAGGTAAAGTTTTTCTAGGGGTGGCAAGACAGGTGATGTGTTCCTTTCCTGGGGGAGGCACATTTCTGTCCAGTCAGTAGCTGGAGAGCTGACTGTTGAGCCGCTGGGGGCATGCTCTCCCCCCCCACCCCGCAAAGTTTGGGAACCGTGGTATTCACATGTTTAAAATGAAGACACGAGCTCGACCCTGAGGGAGGCTTCCCCCCGCCTCCCGGTTGCCGTGCTGGCTTGGCTGGAAGCGCGAGGAGCGCGGACATCTCCACCCGGCTCCAGTCTGGGCCCAGGTGGCTGTTGCTGAAATGCTGCCAGGGTTCCCTTCTCTGCCTGCCCCCGAGAGGGGCAGGTTCGTGTGTGCTCTGTACCCCAAGATGCCTCCTTGCCCTGCCCCGTGTGACGGCCTCCCTCCCCAAATCATTTCACACCAATCTGCCAGTGGAGACAGTGTCTACACTGCAGAGCATAAGAGCAGTGGGGATGCAGTGCCTTGAAAACATGCACAGGGTCCATCCAGCATGAGCTTTCACCAGGGTTTCCCCACGGTGTTCACAGATGCCCCTTTGTGCCTTTCTGAGTATTGTAAACGCCTGTGTTCAGTGGATTTACTTTGCCCCTGGAAAGTGTCGGAGCCGAGAGCGTGTTCCTCTTCCTGTTCCCTGTGCACCCATCTGGGCATAACTGCCCACACAGTGCTTTGAACAGCCTGTGGTTTCGGTTGGCCACAGGGTTTTTGTTTGTCTTGTTTTCAAAGCACGAAATTGCCAGGGTACTGTCTTTCGACAGGTCCCTAAGTGTGAACAGCTATGTAGCTGCCAGTTGCTGGGATACTAGTGAGTGGCTGGCACGTCCAAGACGTCTCTAAGGAGTTTGGACTTTCAAATACAGACAGGAGAAAGAGCTTTCTTTCTTTTTTTTTTTTTTTTAAAGAACTTTGATAGGGCACAATGGAGGTAATTACAGCCTAACTTTATAGGACGTTTCTGTGACAGGCTGGGCAGCTATGCCTGTCATGTGCATTAGCCTGTGAGCTGGAGTAATGCCGCAACGTTCCTGTTGGTGTCCAGCTGTCTGGCAGGGAAGCTCGCCGGGGAGAACGTTCTGAAGGGCTTGCTATAATTACAATATTGTGATGTGGCGTTATTGCATAACTCAAGGACACGCCATTGTCACCTACCCACTGGGGTGTCGCAAGAACGAGATTTGTGAGTTTTTCTGCAATTGAGCTTTTCCAGTGATTGACCGCCACTCCCTCCCAGCCTTTTGGTTCTTTAAAATGAAGGATAAACTTCAGGACAACCATGACCTAGGGAGAAAGACAGCTTTCTGGAATATAATTTGGAGAAATGGATCCAGAAAAACAGCCAGAGGCTCTTCCTCGTTTCAGCAGGGGGTCCTGAGTCACGGGCACAAGCTCTCAATGGTGAACCCACACAGCTCGAAATGCTGGACGCCGTATCAACCGACCGAAGCTGAACCTGCCTGCCCCGTTTATCTTTAAAAAGCCAGTCTGAAACACTGGAAGGCCTTTGTTAATGAGAAATAAAAATTACGGTAACAGAGTAGATAGGTTTTGCTTAAATGAAGTCTGACTTTCGTCAGATTTGGCCAGTGATTTCGTCAATAATTCTTCTCATACAAGTCT